GGTCCAGTTCAGTTCATCCCAGTTCAGTTGCTCGGTCGTGTCCGACTCTTCACAAACCCATGGGCTGCAGCATGACAGGCCTCCCTGTCCATCACCAACTCCCGGAGTTTACCCAAACTCATGTCCATTGAGTCAGTGATACCGTCGAATCATCTCATCCTCTGTTCTCCCCTTCTCCTCCCGCCTTCAATCTTTCCCAGCAACAGGATCTTTTCCAGTGAGTCAGTTCTTCGCATCAGGTGGCCAAAGTATTGGAGTTTCAGCTTCAGCATCAGTCGTTCCAATAAATATTCAGGACTGATTTCCTTTAGGATTGACTGGTTTGATCTCTTTGCAGTCCAAGGGACTGTTAAGAGTCTTCTCCAACACCACAGTTCAAAAGCATCAATTCTTTGGGGCTCAGCTTTCTTTATAGTTCAACTCTCATATCCATACGTGACCACTGGAAAAACCATAGCCTTGACTAGACAGACCATTGTTGGCAAAGTAATGTCTCTGCTTTTCAATATGCTGTCTAGGTTGGTCATAACTTTCCTTCCAAGGAGTAAGCGTCTTTTAATTTCATGGCTGCATTCACCATCTGCAGTGATTTTGGAGACCCAAAAAATAAAGTCAGCCACTGCTTCCACTGTTTCCCCATCTATTTGCCAAGAAGTGATAGGACCAGATGCCATGATCTTAGTTTTCTGAATGTTGACTTTTAAGCCAGCTTTTTCATTCTCCTCTTTCACTTTCATCAAGAGGCTTTTTAGTTCTTCTTCACTTTCTGCCATAATGGTGGTGTCAGCTGCATATCTGAGGTTATTGATATTTCTCCTGGCAATCTTGATTCCAGCTTGTGCTTCATCCAGCCCAGTGTTTCTCATGATGTACTCTGCATAGAAGTTAAATAAGCAGGGTGACAATATACAACCTTGACATACTCCTTTTCCTATTTGGAACAGTCTGTTGTTCCATGTCCTGTTCTAACTGTTGCTTCCTGACCTGCATACAGGTTTCTCAAGAGGCAGGTCAGGTGGTCTGGTATTCCCATTTCTTTCAGAATTTTCCACAGTTTATTATGATCCACACAGTCAAAGGCTTTGGCATAGTGAATAAAGCAGAAATAGATGTTTTTCTGGAACTCTCTTGCTTTTTTGATGATCCAGCGGATGTTGACAATTTGATATCTGGTTCCTCTGCCTTTTCTAAAACCAGCTTGAACATCTGGAAGTTCACAGTTCACATATTGTTGAAGCCTGGCTTGGAGAACTTTGAGCATTACTTTACTAGTGTGTGAGAAAAAGGAGGTTACTTTGAGTTAAATGCTGGGAAGGAAGATGGGAGATTACTTACTACAGAGAATCAGCATTTGAAGTATAAAGGATCAGAGTGTATTAAAAATAAGTGTTTGGATAAAGCTAACAATGCAGCAGAAATACAAATCTCTCTGCAAACCAAATGACAGTCTTACATGGACAGGACCGAGAGAGGAAGAGATGAGCCGGCGAGCATCTCAAAGCCTGGTGGACACATAAACACAACACAAGTGAGTCAAAGTCGCTCAGTCGTGTCTGACTCTTTGTGACCCCATGGACTATACAGTCCATGGAATTCTCCAGGCCAGTACACTGGAGTGGGTATCCTATCCCTTCTCCAGTGGATCTTTCCAACCCAGGAATTGAATCAGGGTCTCCTGCATTGCAGGTGGATTCTTTACCAACTGAGTTATCAGGGAAGCCAAATACAACACAAAACAGATGACAAAACTGAAATTAATTTGCCTACATCAGTAAATGTAAATGTGCTCAATGCACTTGTTGAAATACTTTAAATTGGCTAACCAAGAGAACTTCAATGCAACTTTGTATGTAAGAGACACTCTTAAACCAAAAGATTCAGAAAGAAACAGCTGAAGGAGGGGTTGGCATAGCTCAGACTGTTCCCAGCTTCCAGGGTTTTCCACAGCAGCAGGACCAGCTCATCGCAGCCTCCCAGACACACCAGCCCCTGAGGCAGCCGTGCTCTCCTCAGGGCCTGGGTCCTCATTTCTAGAACCCTGACTTCTCTCCCATCCTCCTATCCCTGGGGGTGTGCCTGCTTCCAAAGCTACGACCTCTGCTAGCTCACTGATCTCTTTTCTACTAGTCTAATATGATTTAGTCAAATCCTTAAATTACATTTTCTATCCCAAAATAAAAAAGAAAGCGCAAGACATGGTTAAGTAAAGAGTAAAGAAGAAATTAATTACAACACAAAGAGCAGACTAAATCGGAAACACATTTGTGAAAAGTCAACAAAATATGCAAAAATTACAAGCTAACTTAATCAAGAAAATAGGAGAGAGACAAATAATTAAATTAGAAATGACAAGAGAAAAATAGCCATAAATCAGAAGAAAATTTAAAAATCCAAGATAACACTTGGTGCAATTTTATACATGTAAAATGTAAACACCAAAATAAACTAAAAATTTCACTTTACAGTTTTATAAATTTGACCATAGTAGAGTCATAACATTGAAATCAATATCCTCAAAATAAATTGAGCCAATAAAGAACTCTCCTAGAGAAAGCAAAACATCCAGATAATCTAACAGGCAAATTTCAGAAAACTATAGATTTGATTATTGCACTGCTATCTGAATTATTTTGGAGTACAGGAAAAAAGGAAAACCTCCAAATTATCTTTATTAGGAGTAAAATATTGATTCCAAAAGCAAAGAATGAAACAAAACAAGCATAAATCACTTTCATTTAGTAATAAAGATGCAAAAAATAAATAAAAGATTTGCAAAAGTGTATAACAACACATTAAAATGTGATACTTCTTTAACACACTAACTTTGCATAGAGTGGTATCTAAACTGCAGGGCTACATCCAAGGGTCCTGAGATCCCTGAGACTTTTAAGGGATTCTTGAAGCCAAACTATTTTCAAAATAGTACTTGGGCATGTTTTTTCTACTGTACTGATATTCACACTGATAGAGAAACAAAACCAAAACCAAGCAAAAACCAACCACACACTGGTGGCCTGGTCCTTCGGGGCCGCCAGGGACACTTTTCATGTAAGACAATTTGCCCACAGACCAGAGTGGGGGCTGGTTTAGGGGTAATTCGATCACGTTGCATTTACTGTGCACTATATTTCTATTGTCATTGCATCAGCTCCACCTCAGATCATCAGGTGTTAGACCTCAGAGGTTGGGGACCCCTGCTTTGGGGGACCCTCCACTCCAGACAAACACCAGAATTTTATCAGAGGAGCTGTGCTGACAACTGAGTGGTGGGCTCTGCTGGTTTGAGAGGAGGTCGGAGTTTGAGGAGCCGAAGCCTCGTCCCTCGCCCAGGCCGCCTCCAGACCCCGCCCCACTCCACCCTCCGAGGTGGACTCTGAAGGCAACTGTCCCAGAGGAAAGGCAGCTCTCATCCCTGACCACAGGAAATCAGACAGAGCTGAGGCTGCAGAGATGCAGCCCTTGGCATTAGCAAACTTTCTTCCTACCTACAAATTGAAAGCAAAAAAGAATAAAATCTGTCTCTGCTCAGGGGGCCTGCCACGGGAAAGCAGCGTGTATGTCTGGGCACCTGACCGCAAAGCTGCCCACTCCCTGGAGGGAGAGAATTCTCTGGAAGACCAGAGGTGGAGCGTTGACAAATGGAGACGTCTGAGTCGGGGACATTTGCCCCTGGACTTGGGTCTGGGCCCTCTGAATAGTTTAATAGAGTTAGTAATGATCTGAAAAAGGTGGTAATCAGCTGAGTAATGTCATTTCAGCAGAGCTGACCTTCAGAGGGGTCACTCACCCGTGAGAAGGGTGAGGATGTAAATGGTTCAGGAAAGTATAATCATTCAACTGAGGAAGTACAAAGAACCCCGTGGAAAGAAAACAGGATCTCATTTTAAAATAAATAGCTCTAGTCAGCTTACAGAATGAAGTGCTAATTTATCTTGGAAGCCGTGATCATCATCGGAGATCTCAGCATGCGTGTTTATAAGAGGAAAACAAACAAGCAAACAGACGTGAGCAGCTCTGTTTGTTTTCCCTCCTGACTCAGAGAAAAATGAAAACTGTCGTTGATTATCTTTTCTACAAGTTAGTGGTGTGGGGTTAGACTGACTTCCTGGAGGCTTTGGGGTGCAGACATCCAGGTGCGGACATCCTGGCTTCCAGCTCTTTGGGATGCAGGCCTCACTGGCCAGTATCTTGGGGGCCAAGCAGATGCCCAGGCTCACGGTTCCCTAAACATGCAGAAAAGTACTGCTTGGACTGGAGGTGGGACCAGTTAGCCTGGATTTACCCTGTGGTCCTTAGCGACTAAACGACAGCAGCACCCAGTCTAACTGCTGTGCTGTGCTTAGTCGCTGAGTCGAGTCCGACTGTGCCATCCCGAGCACTGGAGCCCGCCAGACTCCTCTGTCCATGGGGTTCTCTAGGCAAGAACCCTGGAGTGCGCTGCCAGGCCCTCCTCCAGGGGGTCTTCCCAACCCAGAGACCGAACCCAGCATAGTCGTTACTAGGCTCCTATTTTACTCTTCACATGTCCTGGTTTGAGTGGAAATTGGACTATTGTTCTAAGTTCAGGAGTTAAGGGCTGGACGCTGCACCAGCCCCTGGTTCTTCTACCTGCCCGGTGTATATCGTGGGGGGTGGCCCCCCTTGTGTCTTTCCCACCAGATAAACTGACCAGAAGCAGCCCTCCTGCCTGCTGCTGTGGGGCCCACAACACACGCCTCCCGCTGTTGCTCTGTGCAGAGAGAACCCTGCAACTGTGCTTGTCCCAGCTCTGTGTCTACCAGGGGCCCTGGTAAAGCCTTTTGTTGGGAGAGAGCTGGGCCAGACCAGACTGAGCCAACAGAGTCCTGAACCGACCCTCTCCTTTCCAGCAAATGAGCAAAGCCACTTCATTATTCTGTCACCAGTAGCTGAAGGAACCTTGATGTCTACATCCTGCAGGACAGATTCCCCACATCAGCAGGGCAACGCCTGTGGGGAATGCAGTCTCCTAAAAATCGTACTTGTTGCATCGTTTGGAGGTGTCTGGGGAGAGAGAAGTGGTCCCGAAGGACAAGCAGGCGTCCAGCTTTCACACCGTCCGCTCGCCAAGCCAGATGAGCCAGGGTGACGCAGGCAGCCACGTGGAGTGCAGGGCAGAGGGCAGAGGGGGCTCCCGGCATCACTGCCAGAGAGCCAGCTTCCGCCCGGAAGGCCTGAGGCTCCAGGTCCTCGTTCTTCGGCTCTGGGCACGTAGGACACAGGCCACTTCCTCAAGCTGCCTGACCACCATTCCATTCAAACAACCACTGTGCTTTATTGTAAAAGAACATAGATTTAATGTAAACATACCGTGGGGCATCCCCAGGCACCGACATCGTGCATTTATGGACTTTTCTCAAATCCTTCCGTGTGCAAGAATGTCCATTTCACAGCCTAGACGCACCAAGTGCAGTGGCAGATAACCCCATGCCTTGAAGAGACGGTATACGTTTTAAAAAGCTGGACGTCTTTCATTTGCTATCAAAGTAAAATAAGATTGTGAAAGCCACTTTATCACTTCAACACAAAGGGCAGTGTTAGATGCAAACAAAAACTCAATTCCCTTGGCTTGTCTACAAGTCTCACAAAGTTAATTTTCCTCTTTTCACCAGAATGAGTATCACAATGTCTTTAAGGCTACTTAGATGTTCTTGTCACTGAATAGCTACAAGCAGAATAGCCCCACAGCCCTGCAGGTTACTAGGAAGGTGTTTCAAGTTTAGATTTGTTTTGATTTGCATCTTGTAAGGAGCACTCAAGGGTCTGAGGGCATGGCAACTCCAACCAGTATTCTTGTCTGGAGAATTCCATGGACAGAGGAGCCTGGCAGGCTACAGGCCTTGGGATCCCAAAGAGTCAGACACGCCTAAGCGACGGAGGACTCACACGGGTTTGGGGCTCAAGGTTTAGTCTCCCCAGCTGGGCAGGACGAGGCACCGCTTCCTGTGGGGACAGGGTCCTAGCATCTCGCCAGCGAGCCCAGCCCTGGCTCTGCCCACCCTCACCAGCCACACACACTAGCGTTAGGGGCTTGGGGGCCCGCAAATGTCTGAGGCTAAAATGGAAATCAAATCTATGTTTCTTTCGGTCTGCTCTGTCTGAATTCTGTCTTTATTAGATCCAGGATTTGCATTTATGGCCCCACGAAAGGTCATTTTCTATTCCCGGTGATCATTGCTTATTTTCCTTGTTTCAGACGAAAACAAACTAGAAATAAGTTGGTAGGGGAAATGCATTTTGATTCTTTAACAATGTTACATAATGAGATCAATCTTGGATTGTATTTTATTCATTTATACATGACTCGACTCATTTATAAAAGTCAAATGACATTAACTCAATAGAGACATATTGTAAAATACCCAACAGCAATATTTGATAAAATAATATCTTTTCAAATTTGTGCTAAGTCATAATTTAAAGCTGAAGACTCATTCTAATACAGGTAGAATTGGTGAGAATATCCCTTAGATATGAATATATATATATATATATATATATATATATAAAAGCCATGAAAGAAACTGAAGATGGTGTGGGAGAAGTTTTCTGAGCCGTGCTCTGTGTGACCTTGGTGACAGTGCCATGATGGTGGTGCAGACACCACGGTCCTTTCAGTGGAGGAGACCCAGGCCGAAGGTGCCACCAGCTGCTCCAGCACCCACCCGCTTCCATCCCCACCTCTGCAGGGAGGACGAGGCCCCGCGATGCAGGGAACCGGGTTCCCAGGAGCCACGGGCCTCCCTGCAGCCCTCCCAGCGCCCTCGCTGGGCAGGAGAAAGTGGGAAGCGTGTCGGTCTCTGCTCCAGGAACGGGCTTCATTCACAGGGAACTGCCTCAGCCTCCTGGGATCCTCATGACGACGGGCCCCCCTCTGCACGCGGCGGGGGCCGTGGTGGAGGGGCACCACCGTCACTGGCTGGTGGCCGGGGCTCACACCTGAGCATCGTCGGCGAGTCCTGAGGACATGTGGCCTGGGGGGCGGGGGTGGCAACCTCAGAGACGAGGCGGCGGCTGCTGACTGCCAGGGGGCTCTTTAACCAAGGCGGCCCTCCTCCTGCAGACCTCAGGGGGTCACCTGAGGTTGGAAACTCGGGGAGCCTGCCAGGCGCGCTGCGGCTAAATTCCTCTTCCCGGGAGGTGCCGTTTTCAGCTGCTGCGTGTGGCTGTTTCTCCCCAGCGCGGTCACTGGGGGAGAGGCTGGCGGGCCTGCACACGGAGGGGCTCCCGTCCTGGGACCAGCGGCAGGCGTGCCATGGTCCAGGCGCCGGACCCCTCCGCACCCTCGCCTGCGGGAGGGCTGGGCTGGGCGGGGCGGGGCGGGGGCGGAGGTGCGGCTGAGCCCCGGATCCGTCCTCTAAGCGGAGGTACCCGATTCACAGTGTTCGGTTGGCCTGGGGTGGGCGGCTGAGTCCTAGGATTTAGACAGCAAATCCCACCACAAGACTTTCACAATTCACTTTGTTTATTTTCTAATTTCATTTGGTGACTTACATGTTAGCACAAAGCCTAAATAGTACAGGACACAGAATTGCGTTTGCACAGCAGTACAGAGAACAGTGGAAATCAAGTTCCCCAGCCCTCCAGATTATTCATTAGATTCCGTTATTTACCAGCTAGATGCTTACGGTGGATCGGTGTCAGGAGAGACTAATTGCGCTGTCAGAGGCCCTGCTAATTGTGCCGCGGTAACAGGGTTACACCTCGCAGGAGCCGGCCGCTCAGCCCCGGCAGCTTGTCTGGGAGGATGGCAGGGATGGAGGGGAGGACCAGAGGCCCCGGAAGCTGGCACTCGCGTCCCTGTCTGCCAGCGCCGGGTCTCAGCACCCCCGACTGCCCGCCCACGAGCTCCACGCGCGCCGAGCAGCCCCTCACCCTTCAGACGTGTCCCCCTGAGAGCTCTCCCCACCGCCCCACGTTACCTTCCAGAAGCCACCGCGCTTCCCGCCGTGACCCTCTACCCTCTGATGCCTGCGCTGAGGACTCCACGTTCCTCCTCCTCCCTCCTCGCCTCCTAGGAGCTCCTCTCTGGACCAAGCCCAGACCCACCCCTCCCTCCACTGCCTGCCAGGATCCTGTCGCCATCGGACCCGAGGGAAGCCCGCAGAGCTCCGGGGGAGCCCAGGCCCCCTGCCAGTCCACACCCCATTCTCCACACAAGAACGCAGTCTAGGTTATACCATTCACAGGCCAGACTCTCCACGTGGTGCCCGCTGGCCACCGAAGAAGCCAGGGCGGTCTTTCCCCACTCAGCTCGCGGGGCCGGTCTGAGCGGCTCACTGCAGGCTCCTCCCCTTGCTGCCCCGTGCTCTCCAGCCCAGCCGCACCTCCTGCCTCTGCGCCAGACTCGGGGGTCTTCGCCCCTTTGGGGCTCTTCTATTTCTCACTTCTGCCAGGAAGTCCTCCTAGACTTGCTGATCCCCAGCCCGCAGTCCTCAGTCAAGGGCTGCGTCATCAGAAGGGACTCTCCCGACCACCCAGGAGCTCGCTAGCGGGTGCTTCTCTAGTCCAGGACCGCGGCGGGTGCAGCGGCCAGCCCAGACCTTGGTCACCCCTGTGCTCACTCACGGACCAGAGCCCAGGCGACAACAGAGCTTCTTGTAGAGAAAAAGACAGCTAAGGCCTTGCTTGCCTCTGAATTCTTGGTGCACAGAGTGGGCATTTAATACTAATTTGCTTAATGAAAATTATCAAGGAAAAGGCTGGGTGTGGAGGGGAGAGCGGGAGCCCCAGGCTGAGGGGTCCTGACCTGTCCTTGGAACACAGAGCCAGGGAGTGAGCGCGGCATGCTCCGTCCTCCAGGGCTGTTCCCACCACCTCATACCTCTCTTCCTTATCTCTGTGTCCTTTCTGATTCTTAGAAGAAATATATGTTTGATTTTATGCATTTTATATTTAACATGGCATTTAATATGCAACATATAAAATAACTTTTGTACCATATATATTGTATATTATTGGAAATATATTGTAAATATATTGTATATTATATAATTTTTCTGTATCTTATAGTCCTTGTTAGCACTCACTAGGGTCCAGACACTAATATATGTGTGTGTAAATACCTGCAAATTGCCTCTGTGGTCAGCATGTGCAGGTCCATGCAAAAATAAACCAGGTGAGTGAATTTCGTGAGTTCTGTGGATTTCCAGAGTCTGTCCCATTTCTGGGAAGAGAGACGCCTTCAGCAGGCGGTGAGCACCCTTGGGCAGGGGCTCTGAGGTGGAGGTGCTGCAGGAGGTGTGTCAGCGGGCATCTCCCAGCAACAGCAAGGGCCTTTGGAGTGGCCCCTGTGACCCCCCAACACTGCCCTCATGGGGGTATGGGGACTGTGGCCCGTGGAGCAGCTCAGTGCCCTCAGGGGGCTTCTCCAGGAGCCTCAGGCTGCTGTGGGGGCCGCTGGGCCCCAGCACCTGTGGTGATGGATGGCCGTCTCCATCTGTGTGCCTGAGGACACCACCGGTCTGCGCCCCAAACTCACCATCACCACCAGGCCTGTGCATGTCTCCGAGCAAGATGTCTGTGTGCATGTGAGCTATTCTGAAAATCAATCCATTTTGAACTTCATTATTCCACACAATAAGATGAAGCACAAGCTGAAATCAAGATTGCGGGAGAAATACCAAAACCTCAGATATGCAAATGATAACACCCTTATGGAAGAAAGTGAGGAGGAACCAAAGAGCCTCTTGATGTAAGTGAAAGAGGAGAGTGAAAAAGTTGGCTTAAAGCTCAACATTCAGAAAACAAAGATCATGGTATCTGGTCCCATCACTTCATGGCAAATAGATGGGGAAACAATGGAAACAGTGAGAGACTTTATTTTCTTGGGCTCCAACATCACTGCAGATGGTGATTGCAGCCATGAAATTAAAAGACGCTTACTCCTTGGAAGAAAAGCCATGACCAACCTAGACAGCATATTAAAAAGCAGAAACATTACTTTGCCAACAAAGGTCCATCTAGTCAAAGCTATGGTTTTTCCAGTATTCATGTATGGATGGATGCGAGTTAGACTATAAAGACAGCTGAGCACCAAAGAACTGATGCCTTTGAACTGTGGTGTTGGAGAAGACTCTTGAGAGTCCCTTGGACTGCAAGGAGATCCAACCAGTCCATCCTAAAGGAAATCAGTCCTGGGTGTTCATTGGAAGGACTGCTGCTGAAGCTCCAATACTTTGGCTGCCTGATGCGAAGAGCTGACTCATTGGAAAAGACTCTGATGCTGGGACAGATTGAGGGCAGGAGGAGAAGGGGATGACAGAGGATGAGATGGCTAGATGGCATCACTGACTCAATGGACATGAGTTTGAGCAAGCTCTGGGAGTTGGTGATGGACAGGGAAGCCTGGAGTGCTGCAATTCATGGGGTTGCAAAGAGTCGGACATGACTGAGAGACTGAACTGAACTGATTCCACACAAAAATATGCTTATTTCATGGTATTGTTGTAGTAAAGTTAACCCAAAATAAAGCTAATTAACACTGAAGGGTATTGGGTGAAGACCAGTGTCCATGTGTCGGGCACACCCCCATGAGTGACCAGAGAACCACGTGTTCTTGAGAACCGTGCTTCCTCAATGCTGGTTTTACACTGGTTTAAACCACTTCACCCAGACATGGCATTTATTACCATTATCAATTAGGTTTTTACTGAGTTTAGATATAGGAAGAGTGCAGATGTGGTTGACACAGATGTTTTGTTTCCTTGAACCAGTTTTTGTTTGTATGACCTGGAGCAAAGGACTCGAGAAGGACTTCAATAAAATATTAAAGGAGGAACAGCATTTTAATATCATCTAAATAAAATTTTAATTTTGCAGGTAAGAAAGCTGAAGCTCAGGAGGAAATGTGGCCTCCGAGGAAATAAATCATTCCCGCTCCTAAGAAGGCTCGCAGCCCTGCAGGACACCACCGTGAGACTGTCTAACCTCCCAGAGCCACGCTGCGAGGACCTGGAAGGCTGCAACACCGTCTCCTAACGTTTAAACAGCTCCTCTTGGGCAGAGTTGTCCCCTCGCCCGCCTGCTCCTGCTCCTGTGGAATGCAGACACTGTAATTCTCAGAAGACTTCCTTTTCCTGCTTTTGAGAGGATAACTAATGTAGCTTTTTTGGCTTTCAGCCCAAAAGTAAGTGGAAGCGAACTGTCCTGGCAGGTGGCTGTCTGGCTCCGTGCTTGTCACCACGTGGTCAGATTAGGGAACTTCCGCCTCTGACCAGGAAGCCGTGGCCCCTGGGAACTGGGCAGCTCAGCAAGAAGCAGTAAACGCCGGACTCACACTCCAGGCGAGGTTTCTCTGGTGACCGTCATGTCTTGAGATCGACCCACTTGCATTAATTACACCTTACTGACCCTCTAGTATAGTTTATATCATGCTCAGAAATAGACTACTAATGATTATTAAGTAGATGTTCTTACACTTTCCTAGTAAGCATGGGGTGTGTAAACACTATGATTGTGAGTGTTTAGGTTTATTAACTGAACTTCCCTGCTGGCTCAGGCGGTACAGCGTCTGCCTACAATGTGAGAGAACAGGGTTCCATCCCTGGGTGGGGAAGATCCCCTGGAGAAGGAAATGGCAACCCACTCCAGTATTCTTACCTGAAAAATCCCATGGACGGAGGAGTCTGGTGGGCTACAGTTCACTGTGTCACAAAGAGTCAGACATGACTAAGAGACTACACTTTCTTTCAGATTTATTAACTTCACAGCAGAGGTTTTATTCTGAGTTTTAAATTCTTGATGGAAAAAAAATCCTGTTACATTGACTACTTCCAGGAGGGCTAAGAGCACACCTGGATGGCGGTCTCTGCGGTGGGGGCAGCAGGGGCTGGGGGGAGAAAGCAGGTGACCCCCGAGTCCGCCTGGGGCACCGGCCCTCATGCCACCCACCTGTGTGAGCTCTGCTGTTTATGTTTCAGCCGTTATTCCCGAAGTCTCAGCTGATCCACAGAGCTGAGCCTGGTGTTTCCTGGCAATGAAGGTCTGGGAGGTTTGCAAGCTGTTTTGTAATAAGCGGTTCCAGAGAAGATGACTGTGTCCCAGCCCCAATAATAGTGAGGGTCAAAGATTCAGAACATCCCGAATCGCAACCCCTGCCCCTGGGTTTTGGTGAAAAACAAACAAAGCAGATATGGAATCCCAAAAAGTGAGAGAACGTGTGATGGGAACAGATAATTCCTGAATCTTCATGGCCTGCTTTATTACTTACTGGTGCTTTCTTATGAGGCATTAAAAATAAATAAATACAAGCTTTTTAAGGCCTTTTGTTAGTGGGACACAAAGCAATAAAATTCATGAGCCCAAACTGTTTTTACATGTGCAGCTGTGAATAATCCAACTGTTCACTGAGAATTATCCAAATGGGTCTTCGAGGTATTTCTTTATAGCAGAAAAATCCAGAGCAATGGGATAATTTAGCCATGTGTTATGTTTTGAAACAACTTGAAATTTTTTGTTACCCATCATGTAAATGTTGAGCATAGATTACTTTTGCGAATACTGATACAGAAAATTTACTTAACAATCATAAATGCAGAGAAGATTAATATCTATAATATATAAAGTGAAAGTGAAGTTGCTCAGTCATGTCCGATTCTTTGTGACCCCATGGACTGTAGCCTACCAGACTCCTCCGTCCATGGGATTTTTCAGGTAAGAATACTGGAGTGGGTTGCCATTTCCTTCTCCAGGAGATCTTCCTGACCCAGCAATTGAACCCAGGTCTCCCTCATAGTAGGCAGACGCTTTACCATCTGAGCCACCAGGGGAGTCCATGTATATAAAGATGTCTGCAAATCAACAAGAGGAAGACTATAAGTAATCAAGGCAATGATGAGCAAGTGCACCAGGGTTTTGGCTGAACTCACCACCAGTGGGTTGGAGGAGAATGCCCCAACCACTGGCTGAAAGAGGCATTTCCCTTTGAGCTCTGATCGGCATCTGGGACTTGCACTTAGGCTGGTGTCTGCAGGGGACGCTGGTGTCTGGGAAGGATGGAAATGGCTATCATATACTAGATATAGCTGAGGAGTAATCATCTTGAAAGTATCAATAAAATGGATATATTTATGAAAAAACACAACTGGCCAAAGTCATTTAACATGTTTAGTTAGTCGCTCAGGCGTGTCCAAATCTTTGCAGCTCCATGGACTATAGCCTGCATGGCTCCTCTGTCCCTGGAATTCTCAGGCAAGAAGACTAGAGTGGACTGCCATCCCACTCTCCAGGGGATCTTCCCGACCCAGGGATCAAAACCGAATCTCTTGCATTGCAGGCAGATTCTTCACCAACTGAGCCACTAGAGAAGCTCATTTTTAAAGACTGTATAAATATCTAATGTAGAAAAATTTTAAGTAATTCATAATTGTCAATGGTTCTGTAGTTAGAAAGTTATGCTCATGAGTTCTTTCAAGATTCCAAGACTTATCCCTTGGAAACCTGCTGGGAGCCAGCACATGAGATCCTACCCATGACAAGGTCATGGGGAGAAAGCCTGACTGGCAAGGCGGATCAGGTTTTCAGGGATTCCAGAAAGGCTAGCTCACGAGATCCCACCCATGACAAGGTCATGGGGAGAAAGCCTGACGGGCAAGGCGGATCAGGTTTTCAGGGATTCCAGAAAGGCTAGCTCACGAGATCCCACCCATGACAAGGTCATGGGGAGAAAGCCTGATGAGCAAGGCGGATCAGGTTTTCAGGGATTCCGAAAAGCTGCCCCAAAGCTGCCCCTGGCGCTCACCTTAAAGATGGTATCTGTTCTTCTGATGCTTGCTTTAACAAATTACTCCCTAATTTCTGTGATATAGGCAGAAGATCTTCCCAGATTTCTTTCCAAATAAGAATTAATTTAGAACTTTAATTTATAAGTTTTTTGGGTGGTGGTATTTTATAAGATTATTTAGGGTGAAAGGAGTGTTTTAATTTAAACTCCTTTGCTGGTTGGTAGTTTGTTAGCCAAATGCATTTATGCCCTTGGTACTAATATGCATGATTGCTTATAATATCCTAATCATAAAATAGCATAAAGAACCTGATTATATAAAAGCCCTAATAGACATAGAGCATTTTTGAGGGGTGAAGGAGTCCTATTAGAAAACATAAGAAAAATTATTCTATAGGTGGTTCTTGGGTTGAGATTTGCTTGCTGTGTTTTGCTTGTTGTGTTTTACTTGCTGTGTTTTTGCTTTTAATGTGCTAAGGTTGTGTTATAGAAACCATTGTTAATATAGTTAAAGATCTAGAGAAATAAGGACTTAGCCCTAGTGTGGTAATAATGAGATGGTTGTTAATTGTCAGCAAGGAGTGCTAGGCAGAAGCTGCCTTACCAAAGTCGCAGAGTCTGTGTGGGGTAAACTTCTTAGATAAACGCAACTGACAACTTCTGCAGAAGGATTAATTTTCGTGTTAACAAGGTTATACTTCTACTCTGCACTGTTGCCCTATGAGACTGCTACCTTTCGGTTAAGGTCACCATAGAAACAGAAAATAGGTTTACATTCACCTGACCTGCATGAAATGTTAACAGGCCCCAAGGCCAGAAGATAATGTACAAGACCCTCATAAACAAAGAAGTATGCAGAAAACACCCTGGTTTTGTGAAGGACAAGCTGACATAATGTTAAACTATCTTCCCCTTAGAAATGTACTAACTTAGGGTATAAAAGCCATGGTAAAAAATAAAGCATTGCCAGACTCTGCCAGACTCTCTGCACCCCCGTCTGGTCATTCCTTCTCTCTCTCTCTCTCTCTCTCTCTCTCCCTCGCAGACTGGGCCCTATCAAGGCTGGTGTCACATGTCCTCTCTCTCTTTCGCCGACGCTGTTCATCCTGAGGGTACCCCCTGGATCCTGCCGAGACTGGACCCTGGCAGAAACCCACATAAAAGTTCTGGATCCTGCTCCAGGACTAACTCACCCTCACCCCCGCCTTGCCCTGTGGTGAAGTCAGCACAGGACTGACGAAGACCGCCAGGACGTGTGTCAGAAGGACAAGCCTGCACAGGACGTTTGCAGAGAACCCGAAACGAGCCCTCTTCTCCACAAGGAGGCTCAGTACTAGGAGGCCAACATGGTGCTACGTTTACGGGACAGCATCCAAGACAATGATTTATCTGATCATCTCAAAGGGTTCCAGATAAAATCACACCGGACACCCATTCCTGACAGAAAGCCGTCTAAAATCCACTACAGGAATCACACTCAGAGGAAATCCCATCAATAACTGCAAACAACCACAATTACCTCTGGAAATTTGAATAGCTTCTATATAACTATCATTCAAAACTCCTTCATGTAGGAGACGTTCAATAAATATGCTAAATAAAGGACCCATTGAGAAGACAAAAGATGGTGTTGTGTTGACTTGAGTCGCTGTCTGACAAGGCAGACAGCCTGTGCTGTGCGCCTCATGCGTGAAGGAATTTGGGCCTGACTGACCTTGGCGGCCTATGGCTGCTCCTTGCTGAAATTATGACAGAACCCCTCACACAGGCTTGTCTGACCCCAGGCTGTGGCTTCTGCACTGGAAGGCTGAGCAAACTGGAGGGGCGGAGGCAGAAGGGCCCGGGGTGTCTGGGGGTGTCCAGCCGGGTTGCAGCCAGGAGTGTCAGAAAGTCCCTGCAGGTGTGATGAGGCTGGACCATCGCCAGCACCAGAGGGTCTCCTGAGAGCTGACGCCAACGCTGCCCCATCAGACGAGTGACAGGGGGATTAGAGACAGCAGGAGCCGGGGTGGGTTCAGCAGAGTTCACGCTTCCGCGGGAAGATGGTGCCCATGTGTCCCACCCTCACACAGGACACAGTGGCTGCAGGCCTCCCGGGACTGTTCTTCTGGGTCCTGTCACTAGACCAAGCAGCAGAGTTCCCCAAGCCAGCAGGAATAAAAAGGTAGATGCCGCAAAAGAATTTTGAAATCAACTGCAGTTATAGGGCATTTCATTTGAATTAGCCAACTGTAAAATGGTAAGACTATAAATATATTTTTAAATTTTTAAGTCATGTGCAACTTTTAAAATAATTCTAATCTCCCAAGGTTACAAAGCCATGTGATTTTCAAAGTTGTTGGAATTTGTATATTGAGAATATTTTCAAAAAAGATATATACCTATAGTCACTTTTTTAGTTATACAAATTCAACCGCAGTAAAAGATCATAACTCTATAGTCTAGTGTTCCCAGCAGGATGTTCAGGACAGTGTGAAACTTGAAGCTACAAAAAGTGAGTTTCTTTTTATGAAATGTTTACTGGTTATCTTATGCCTTAAATAAAGTAAAAACATTATAAAACTTCAATTACTAATTATTGATGCTTTAATTTGTAACTAGCTTTAAAATTCTAGGAACTAGGTAATATATTGTATCTTTCATCTACCAAATCTATATTTTACACATATAAATGTATACAGATCATTTTTCAGTGTAGCTATAATTCTGCATCTCTGCTCCCCTTAACAATAAACTTCACTAAGAAAACTTGCTTACCTCCTGCTTATGCTTGTAAAATGTCTTTATGGACTATTTATGACTTGGAGAATTAGCATAAAATAATATTGTAATGGCTTTGCACCGATAGCATCATATTTCTTTGACCAAGAGCAGATAATTTTTCAACACACCCCTCATCTATAAACAAATTGTTTTCCATAATAACCAGCAGACAAAATAAATAATAATAGGAAATAAATGCAGCATTTTCTTTCTTATTTTTAAATTGATGTCCTCCATTTTTTAAATGACCAGCCTCAGGTTGGTGTTTGTCTCCTTTCGTGTGTGTGTGTTACACACACGAGCCCCTAATAACACAGGGATTGGCTGCTTGCTACATGGAGACTCTGGCAGTTTTTTGGTTCAGTGGCTCTTATGAAATGCTTCCATGCTAATCCATGCAGTGGTAGGAATTTAGTTAACTGCTGTAAGCAAATCCAGGAATGCTCGTTCTCCTACTATGTGCCTGTGGGAATCCTGTGACAAGGAAAACAGGCAGAGTTCTCACACTCCCGGAACTCGATCTCCTAGGAGGACAAACCCATCAGCAACTAAATACAGCCTGTCTGACTGTGACTACGCAAAATCACCTTATACTAACAATTAAACAGTGTTTATCCTCAAGCCATACTGACTGTCTGACTGTGACTACGCAAAGTCACCTTATACTAACAATTAAACAGTGTTTATCCTCAAACTGGAAACTTTTTCATACTGAAAACTTTTACTAGAAATAAATATCTCTGATTATTAAAAATGTAAGTAATATGGTATTATGGTTATCAAATAAAATTCAGCAAAATGACTTCATATTTAAAGAGTTGCAACTCTCAGTTTCAGAAGTGACAAAAAAAGAAAATAGTTTGTCTAAAAGAGATGTTTTAGAATAGCAATCCATTAAAACTAAGTTATGAGAAATATGTAGAGAAATGATTAGAATAAATGATTAGAATAAACACAAATAAACCCAGAACAAATCATAAAAACTTGATAACAGAGTTTATACTGCTTAAAAGAAAACAAAGGAAAAATGATTGTTTATGTATACACATTGGAGAGATAACTCAGCTTCTGTAGTTCATGATGTTTATGTTAAGGGTTTTTCATTTGTTTTTGTTTTTTTCCCAATCACAGTGAAGAGCATCTTTATGTAGGAGGTGTAATCTATGAAGACAGGATCACAGATTTTGATGTCAAGCAGGTGTCACTTGAGTGTTCAGTCTCTTTTCATGTGCAGAGGCAAACATGCTGAACTGTTGTTCAAAAGTTTGGGTGCCATCAGTAAGTCCAGGATTGCTAAAACTGATTTTAAAAAATCCCCTGCTATTTACTTCAAGTGGGAACCTACATTTTAAGGTGCTAGATTTTTCTCATTTCAAACACTATAAGATTAGGAATATTGGTTTGGTTTGCTTGGATTTTAAGAAAATTGAAAGCACAGAAAATATCTTCATTTCATAACTGTAGAGTGGGGGGGGTGGTTGTTGGAGAGAAGAAAAGGAAATCAATTTATTTAAGAGGAAAATGCATAAAACAAATACTTTTGTTAGGAACAGAATTTTACATTATGATAATTTGATATCTTGAAATCTTGAAGGATCCAATTAGGATAACTTAGTTTCTTTAAGAAAAAATACTACTTAACTGATAATAAAATATTATGGCTCTCTGCAAAGGATATAATGCAATATATTTTTCCATTCTCCTATAATGGTCCCTGACATTTCCAGTGTTTCTCTTTTACAAATAACCTGGCCATGAAGATGATTTTATGTCCTCTTGGGATTTGTGTGATAAATTCCTCAAGGTGCGGCTGTGGGGGAGATGGGCAGATCTTCGAGTTTTTAGATGGGCAGATCACTAGTTTTAAACGGCTGTCTTAGGTGTTTGGGGGGAGGCTTCCCTGGATGCTCAGTGATAAAGAATCTGCCTGCAAAGCAGGAGACTCGGGTTCAATCCCTGGGTCGGAAGATCCCCTGGAGGAGGAAATGGCAACCCACTCCAGTATTCTTGGCTGGAGAATCCGATGAACAGAGGAACCTGGTGAGCTACAGTCCTCGGGGTCACAAAGAGTCAGACACGCTTTAGTGACTAAACAACAAAAACAGGTGTTTGGGACATTTAACCTCAAGGCAACACTTCATGATCTCATGTGATTTTAGACGCTGACCAGAATGTGGTATTTCTGGACTGTGTATTTTTTAACCACTTGGTGAATGTAAGTGGCATCACAGAGTTTTATTTTGTACCACACTGATTATCGCGAGGTTATCTGTATTTCAGTATACGTCTTACACTCTAGAAGGACTGATGCTGAAGCTGAAGCTCCGGTGTTGTGGTCGCCTCATGTGAACAGCTGACTCACTGCAGAAGTCCCTGCTGCTGGGAAAGACTGAGGGCAGAAGAGAAGAGGGTGTCCGAGAATGAGAGGTCTGGATGGTGTCACCAATGCAATGGACATGAACCTGGGCAAACTTCAGGAGTGGTGAGGGACAGAGCAGCCTGGCATGCTGCAGTCCACGGGGCTGCAAAGACTTGGATACGACTGGGCAACTGAACAACAACAAAATCATCATATCTATCATAAGTACCTTGATGCTTAGTAGGAAATGTCACCATTCCCCCTTTTTGTTTATAAAATTTTAAGTGCCATTTTCAAGGTCCATGTAAAAACCTGTTGGAATTTTTTTAGAACCAGAGAGAATTTATAATTCATTAGGAAACAGAAGGCATCTTGTTGCTATCAGGTGTTCCTATCCATGAATATTGTATATGAATCCCTGATCTATAATTTCATTCAATAAAAACTGGTAGTTTTCTTTATTATAATCTCTTGGTTTTACTGGGTAAACAAATAAATCATCTTCAAAGAGTAATAGGATTTTAAAAAATCTTTACAGCTTTTATTTGTCTTCTTGGACTTTTGCCTAAAAATAGTACAAAGTAGACAATATTTTGCCTACAAAGGTCCACATAGTCAAAGCTATGGTTTTCCCAGTAGTCATGTATATATGTGAGAGTTGGACCATAAAGAAAGCTGAGCACCGAAGAACTGATGCCTTTGAACTGTGGTGTTGGAAAAGATTCTTGAGAGCCCCTTGGACTGCAAGGAGATCAAACCAGTCAATCCTAAAGGAAATCAGTCCTGAATATGCATTGGAAGGACTGATGCTGAAGCTGCAGCTCCAATACATTGGCCACCTGATGGAAAGAACTGACTCCTTGGAAAAGACCCTGATGCAGGGAAAGACTGAAGGTGGGAGGAGAAGGGGACGACAGAGGATGAGATGGTTGGCTGGCATCACCAACTCGATGGCCATGAGTTTGAGCAAGCCCCGGGAGTTGGTGATGGACAGGAAAGCCTAGAATGCTTCAGTCCATGGGGTCACAAAGAGTCGGACACGACTGAGAGACTGAACTGAACTGAACTGATATGTATAATTCTACATTTCTTCATTTTCCATTTCAAATGCCAAAAAGTTCAAAAGTGAATCTCAACAAGATGTTCTACCAGCTTCCCTTCATGTGAGGCTCCGGTGCCTTGTCCCCAGATGCAGATGGGTGTTTACGTGCCTTTGACTGTTGAGTGCCTGCAGCTCCTTCCAGGAGGGAATGAGACCCAGTGAGGTGGAGGGAGGCAGTGGAGAGCGTGGGAGGCGAACGTCCCCAGGAGCCAAGGACGCAGTTCCCGTGCAACCTGCCATTCTGCTTGCTGACGCCCAGTCCCCGCGGTCGGGTTTCAGACCTCGGTGATTTCCTGATAAAACTGTCTCCCCACTACAGTTCACACTGATATCCTCAATACATTTTACTTTGCTTTTGTTGTTGCTGTTGGTCGCTAATTCTAGTTTAATTCCATTCTGTTTTGGTTGCCTGACCTCAGGATTGTATTGTGTCCCTGTTCCAAATCTTGAGTCTATTTGTTTCTACTCACATTTTTAGAACCTGCTGGATTAAATGTCAAGCTAGTTGCCTTTATCTCCATCTCAGTGTTGTATGAACGAGTCTGTTTTCTGGCAAATGCGGTGTGAGGTTTATGTAGGTCTTAATTAGGGAATAATGGTGCCCTGAACGCACACGTCTGGGTCATAAGTAGCTCCCGCCCTCCCCCTTCCTCCACCCCTTCCTGAAGGGTCCAGGTCTCCTGTGATATATGAGGTGGTCCTGAACATTTATTACAACAAGAGCAAAATGCATACCATACACCTCACTATACTAACTGCAGAGGATTAAGATTACCTATTTAGATGAAAATACCATGAAACATTACATTTAAAATCAATTATATCTGTATTACTAAGACTTCAAATCTGCTACCTTAAATATCTGTCATTGACATAGTCAATGTGCTATTGTAAGTAAACTGAATTTTAAAGAATCATAACCTTACATTTATGTATTCTTTCACAATGACTAAAATCCCTCTTACTCTATGATTTGTTTTAATTATTTTATGAATAAAAAAAGCTTTATAATCCTATTCTTAAATGCTATGTTTAGCTTACTATTTAAAATGACAATTTTAGCTGTAGATGAATGTAGTTTTGCTTCATAAAATTAAAGATCTTAGAAATATTTCCTCATATCTACCACTTGGCCTTTATCTACCACATGTATGATAATTGTATGCATCATGTAATATGTGCATGTATATTTAGAATAAAGCCAAAGAAATCACGCTTTTCTTAGCAGCTGTTGCTAGTCTTCAAACCTTTCAGCTCCGTGGGGTGTCTTTCACAATTAATGCTACAGTTGGGATTAAGGCAAGGATCTTCCTGACTGATGGATGAATGGTCTTGTTGGAATGAAGAGTCTGAGAGAAGAAAGTCAGACGAAATGTGGTTGATGGTGTCTTTCCAGCAAAGTCTGACTCCTTTATCCTGGAGGCCAAGGTGAGGTGCTGGCCCCCCACACCCTGGGCTTCCATGTGCCCACAGGACATGGCCATTGCTGCAGGAGTGAAAGCCGGGCAGATGTGGGGGCTTTGGAAGCGGGCGGTGGGGGTGTGGGCCACTTGGGGTCTGACTCGGGGGCCTGGCTAGGAGCTTCCAGGCACCCAGGAATGGCAGGAACTGCTGGTCCTAGGACCCCACAGGGTCAGGCATCCACACTCAGGGCCTCGTTCTCACCCCAATCTCTCAGGAAGCACCTCCATTATGGGGGGGTTCTCCCCTCGGAGGAGATGGGGACTCATGATGCTCAGGTCTCTGCAGGAGTCTCCTAGGGGCTGGCTGTCGATGGGGCGGGAGGAAGCACCAGGTTTCCGTGAAATGAAACAGCTCTGCCCAATGACCCTTCATCCCCGGGTGGTGGGCCCACCTCCTCCCTGGGAGCTCTTATGTTCTGGAGGGAGAGGTGCGGCTCCCTCTGCACGAGGCCTGCGGGGTCATCACTCAGAAGAGCTGGGGGGCAGGGAACGCAACTGAGCTGGGCGGTTTATCACTAAGGACGCAGGATCAGGCAGGAGGGCCTTTCATCTGGAGGAGACTCTGTGACCAAGACTGAGGGTGAGAAAGACTAGGCAGGTGTCTGGGGACTGATGCCAACGGGCAGAGGGAGGTGGGGGGGCAGGGAACGCAACTGAGCTGGGCGGTTTATCACTAAGGACGCAGGATCAGGCAGGAGGGCCTTTCATCTGGAGGAGACTCTGTGACCAAGACTGAGGGTGAGAAAGACTAGGCAGGTGTCTGGGGACTGATGCCAACGGGCAGAGGGAGGTGGGGGTGCCCAGACTCGAGGAGCCCTAGGAGGTTCAACAACTGATGACTGAGATAAAATGGAGTGTGCGGCAGTCACCAGACCTGGAGGTGGTGACAGAGCTGAAAAGCGACCAGGAAATGACTGGGTGAGGAACGCGTGCACGAGAGAGCTTCACAGCGGAAACAAAGGAAGAAATCAGGAAACTTCAGTCTTGGACCCAAGAGAATAGAACCATCTGCCAGAGCAGCGGTGTGAGAGAGAAAGGAGCAGAGACTGGGACAGAGACTGGGGTGGAGACGGGAGTAGAGATGGAGTAGAGACAGGAGTAGAGATGGAACAGAGGGGGAGTGGTGGGCGCTGGGTCACCAGTGGTGACCACTGGGTCTGCTGAGGGGGGCTTGCCCAGGGCACCCCCATCTGCCCCTGACAGCCCGACTCCCACCCGCTTGCTCTCCGGCGCCGCCTCCACGAGTCTGTGTTGTCACGACGCCATCCTCGTGGCTGCAACTTTCCTCCTTTCTCGCTAGGACAGAAACCCGTGTCCCTTCATCCCAGAAGGCCTGCAACAAAGACTGAAATTACCGAACAGAGAAGGAGCGGAACGAGTTGAATCACCAAATTCAAGCTCAGGGATTTTAAAGCGGACTCGACCCTGAAGAAAGCCTCAACTCAAGGTAAACAGGTGAGATGGGCTCTGGGTGGTAGATGGAGACCGCGGCGCTCACCAGCAATGGCCGCTGAGACGGGCTTGGCTCCTTCAGGAACCTCCCCGGTCTCTCCTGGGAAGTGGGAGCTGCCCTGTGCTTCTGCAACTTCACCCTCGCCCGTCAGGGTGGGCACACCCGCCTGGACCCTGGCGGCGGGGCTCGTGGGGACCGCCTTCCGGTCAGCCAGGGCAGGGGCGGCTGGAAGGGGCCAGGCCCTGGCCGGGAACCCGCAGGCCCGCGGGGGAGCGTACCGCGAGGCCTGCAGCGCCACCTGCTGGCCGAGCTCCGAACGGCCGCCGCTCTGGCTTCCGGAGAGGAGCCGGGGACTGGGCCAAAGCCGCTCGGCAAAGCGGCAGCCGCGGGCGGCCGCCCGGTGAGCGGGCCTCCGCTCAGGCGGGTCTCGCAGGCGCTCCGAGAGCGACTCTGGCGCAGACAGCTGCCTGCGCGCCGCAGCCCCGCGGGGGAGGGCCAGTCCCTCAAAACCCAGAGCCGGGCGCGTGGCCTCGCCTGGGCCCTCGGGGTCTCGCAGCGCAGGCCTCCTGTTCTCGAGCTCGGGAAACGCAGCCGGAGCTCCAGCGAGGGGAGACTGGAGTTCTGGCCACAAGACGGCCCCTTGCTTCGCTGTCCCTGGGCTTCCCACTACCGGTCAGGGCCCCGGCTCCAGAGGGGCCCTGGCCGGGGGTGAGATCAGCACATCACCGTGCTACACCGGGCCCCTACAGTGGTCAAGGTGATTGGGAAATCTTGACCATTACATGGGCGAGTGAAAAATGTTGCTGCTGCGTCAGTAAACAAAGGATGCTGCAGCGATGCAGCCCCGAAAACCGCCTAAGGTGAGGCCTACGGAGACTCAGGGTGGAGAGGGGACGCCCCCATCAAACCGTCAATCGCCACGGCTGCCCTTGTGGTGCACCCCGCGGGACCCAGGATGGGCAGACACAGGCCACTGGGCCCGGGCAGCCGGGGTGCAGGTCGAAAGAAAGGTGTCAGTGAGCCTAGGCTTTGCACCTTCTCATACGTGGAGAAGGGCTAAAGTCCTTAACTAGAGATGTCTCACTTCCTTTTGTGAACAGTGATCTTTTGATGTTGCGATTAGCTGGTCTTTGCTGCAAAAAGATCCTATAGATCCTGGCTCCCCCCTCCCCCCACCTCTTCAGAGCCATCCCTCAGAGCCATCTGAGAGGCTGTGTCCAGGGCTCAAGTCCTCAGTTTTGTCCTCCGAATAAAGCATCGTTCTCAGCTTTAAGGCTGTGCATTTTTTTCAGTCGACATACATATGCATGTATTTGTATAATAAACACACTCCTTGGAAAAGACTCTGATGCTGGGAAAGATTGCAGACAAAGGAGAAGGGGCGACAGAGGATGAGATGGTTGGATGGCATCACCGACTCAATGGACACGAGTTTGAGTAAACTCCGGGAGTTGGTGATGGACAGGGAGGCCTGGCGTGCTGCGGTCCATGGGGTCGCAAAGAGTCGGACACAACTGAGCAACTGAACAACAACAGTGCATAACACGCAGGTCTACAAGTTATAACTGATATTCTTTTCTAATATAGATTGGGCAAAAGAAAAAGTAAAGAAGAAGAGGGACTCTGCACAGAGCAGGGGCCCAGGCACTTCAGAGACAGGTGATCAGAGGCGCTGAGGCTGACCTCCTCTGCCGTCCAACAGGTCCCACAGGACCCGCGGGAGGGGCCGCGTTCCCCTGGCCGGTGGGCTCGGGACTGTGCAGGTCACGCTTCCTGGCAACCCTTGCTCACATCGATGAGGTAATATTTTCTAAAGGACTCTGAAATGCATCTTTAATGAATTAAGTACAACACACCTGCAGGCGATTGAAGTAACACATACCTTTAGGTGCAATCTTGAGCTCTCAGAAACCACACATTGTTATGGGAATCAATACCCTGGTCGTTTTGTTTTCCCGAAATACGGGCTTTGTGCCAAGCACATCTGTCTTGGTAGAAAGAAAATAATTTTCTTCAATTTTCATGCCATTGCCTTTGCTAAAATACCCTTTTGAATGTATAGTTCAGTGCAAACATCTTATTTTTTTCTCTAGACTTCATACTTCTATAGGACCATCCAGAAAACAAATTGGAAGAATTACTTTAATCCATTAGTAAATATTTACTGGACACAACTCCAGGTGCCATGAGAAGACATATGAATAATGACACAAGTTCTGGATCTTAAAATAACTAAAAGCACTTTCTATTTGAGTTTTTGTATAATCTGGTCCATTCCTTCATGGAAATTATTACCTGGTTAGATAATATACAAGCATTTAAAGAGATGATTAAAATTAAAATAACATGTGCCAAGATCTGATAAGTAATATCAAGCTGCTGCACCCCAAATAAAATGCATGTGTTCCATGATGTTCCCTAATTTTTGCCAAAACACGATGGGTGGGTATCAACCTTCCCTTTGCCCAGCTGAAACTTAGGCCCAGACAAGCCCCCTCTGAGTGATGGCCCAGCTTCAGGAGAAGCATCAGCGGTGGGGAGGGGAAGGCAGGGGGGCAGGGGGGCGGCATTTAAGATTTAAAGACCCAGGATGTAGTGAGTGTGGAAGAGTTCTGTTGGGTCCTGTTAGGTCTGGCCCAACAGTAGCAGGCTTGGTGCTGCCTGGGGGTCAGCCCGAGGGACTGGGGCCCTGGCCTGGCCACCTGCAGCACCCCAGCCTGCGTCCCTGCAGAGATCTCGGCATCTGTCCCGGCGGAGCCTGGCCTCCGGAAGCTGCAGCTGGAGCCCTCGGGCCCCATGGGCCTCCATTCATGGACCGGCCCGTCGCCGTGAGAGCAGGAGCAGTGATGACACCACGCAGTTTCCCATCGACGGCGGGTGTTTCCTGCTCGCTCCCCTCTGGCTGTGGGGAGGGTGTGCATCCACAGCCCTCACGAGGACAAGGAGGGGAGCGGGCCTTCTCCCTCTAGGTCGTGATTGTGAGACTGTCCAGGGGGGCGACCAGACGCCCGACCCCCAAAGGCTAGACTCTACCCCGAGGGTGTCCCCTGCACCCGCCTCCTGCAGCCTGGGTCCTGTGGAAGGCCATCGGGCAGTGAGTCCCGGGAGAGTCTTCTTCTGTGGGGCACCGTCCGCAGAGGCCGCAGGGAGGACAGCTTCCCAACACGGCTGCTTTCCCGTCTTCCCTACTCTGAGCCCATCAGGGGTTCTCGTGATACCGAATCATGGGAAGCACTAAGGGTTCAGATGACTTGTTTACGCGGGTGGATGCAATCAAATCGATAGCAGTTGTGCCCAGAGTCTGGGGAGTGATTTTCTGGAATGGATTCTGAAATTTCTGCCGCCCAGGGGGGTGGGCGTTGTCAGGCCGTGTGATGAAGTGTAGCTCAATTAGAGAGTGCAGTGCTCTAAATCAATGCCACATGATGGTGTGCTCGGGCCGCTGAGCAGCCTGTGGTTCTTAAAGGGCCTTCACAAATGGGGCTTAGGGGCCTGTTTCCCCTGCCTCAGGCCCAGGATGAAAAGATGATTCTGCAGAGTCCAGATTTAACACCGGTCATGCTTCGGCCCTGGGGCTGCAATGGCTTTAGCTTCTCAGGGGTCCACCACCCCCTCCATGTGGTACCAAGGGACCACGGGAGCTGGTTCTGTTCCCTTCAAACTGCTCCCAACAAAGAACCGGCATTGTCGACAGAAAACCAGGGTTGAGCTAAATAACTGTGGGGAAAGAGCAAATTAGCCAAGATGGTCGGGCTCTCTCGCCCCACGATCTGTTAATGTGGTTCTGTAACAGCTGGGACCACTCACAGCGCTGTGCGTGTGCATTGCCGTGCACCCCTTCAGCCACGGCCGCGTCTGTCTGTAAGCATATATAAGCTTCACTGAAAAGCCCCTGAAGCTGCGTCAGGTCTGTGTCCACCAGCTTGAGGAGGACCCAAGACGAGGGAATGCAGCATGTCTGCTGCTACAGCTGTGGCCCCAGTCGGGAGAATAAATGTGTCTGCAGCTCCCACGGCCCCTTGAGGGTTCTCCCAGCTTCCCCGATCGTGCCTTGCCTGCCCTGGGCTCAGCAAACAGTGTGGACAGAGAGACAACTGGCATAGTCGGCAGGACCAGCGAGACAAGAACCAACACTTGTCTCGGCTCGAGAATTATCCTGGGGCCCGCCGAATACTAGGCCAGCTGCCCCTGCTCAGACTTGTGTCCGAGCAGGATGAGACCAGTGAGAGGAACTTTGAGGGGAGGGGGAGATGGACCATGAGACCCTCTCTGGCCCCCAAATCCCGAGCTTCCCCACGAGCCTTCCCTGGTGAGACTGTCTCTACATGTGCTGAGAAAAGTTTTGCTGGTTGTTGAAAGGATTTCATCCAAAACGATATAGAACAAGGCCGGATGCGGAGATGCCGCTGAAGATGCAGACTTAGCTTGTGGGGTGCAGAGCCAGGACCTAGGGGTGACTGGGGCTCCTCTGTTGCCCTGTGGGGCTCCGGGAGGGTGACCCAAGACGGTGCTACCAGGGTCCTCCACGAGGCCCCCTCCCGGAGGCAGGATGGCCTTGTGAGCATCTGACTGCAAAGCAGGGACAGTTCTGAGGCAGGAAATGGGCTGGTGGCTCACTTCTCACGGGACCATCCAGGCTCCCAGGCCACTTGGCCAGACCTGAGCACACCCCAGGCCCCTGGGGGCTCAGCGCTTTGTTCCGAAAGTTAGCATCCAGGTGCCTCACAGGGCGATGCCCGCACTGAGCCTGTGCCACCAGAAGCCCTCGGCCAGGGTCACTCAGACTCGTGGGCAGGGTGGCCCCTCCTGCCTCCTGGGCACAGGGAACCGCCTTCTCGTGTGGCCTCTCTCCTGACACCGCTTCTCCCACCCGAGACCCTGCACCACCTCCGTCTCCGCCAGCATCCACCTTCTTATGGACCTGGCAGCATCTCATCCGGAGAGTCTTCAGCCAGAGCCCTGGTCCTTCTGCTTCCTGGACGTGGACCCTTGAGAATCTGGGTTTCACCGGAGCAGCGGGCACCAGGGACATTCCCGCCAGGGATAAGCCCCAGACAGGAGCCGACTCCTTTAAGCCTCCACATCTAGGAAAAAAGAGGAGAAGCTCCGGGGTGCAGGCACCTTCTCTAAGGGTGACTGGGCATCTGCCTGCAGTCATTCTACTGCAGACTATGGCTTACTGGACATTAAATGGGAGTTTTTTTCTTCAAAGCTGAACTTGGCAGAAATTCACTAAATCGCTAGCCATACTCCTAAACCACAGGGCACATAAAACATTGAAATCAGAAGTGTTTCCCAAGGAAATTGCCATTTAATTTTCTGAAAAGCAAGCGAAATACAATAACAGGCATGATTTCCCCTTCAGTCAAAGGGGGGGGTCAGTGGTGGGGGCCCGAGACCCTTCGGCCTCAAGGCGCCCCCCCCTCAGGATCAGGCTGCACTGGCCTGTGAAGGGGTCTGCGGAATTAAGGCCTTGTGGGGGCGGGGGGTGCCATAACCCTGGGTGGGCGGGACTCCAGGAAGCCCTGAGGCGGCAGGTGGGGCAGGGAGACCCTGAACCTGCCATCAGCCCAGTGCACAGGCAAGGGGACCCCAGAGCCCAGATGAGGCCTGGGCACAGCTTTCGGAGCTCACACCGCAATCTCTGCTGCACAGAGAAGGCTAAAGTGAAGTCGCTCAGCCGTGTCCAACCCAATGGACTGAAGCCTACCAGGCTCCTCTGCCCATGAATTCTCCAGGCAAGAGTACCGGAGTGGGCTGCCAGTTCCTTCTCCAGGGGATCTTCCTGACCCAGGGATCGAACCCGGGTCTCCCACTTTGCAGGCAGACTCTCTACCCTCTGAGCCACCAGGAAAGCCCAACTAAGGCATTTGCTAAAACTTGAATTGTTTGCTGTCATGTCCCAGCACAATTCTCTGCAACCGCTGCAGTACAAGTGAGAGCTGCGTGTCAGCGTCAGGGGCCAAGCTGTCCCTGGGGCGCCTCGGGGCCCAGGCCCCTCAGCACTGCTGGCTCGGCCACAGCTTCCTGGCTCTCTGACGCCTCACCCTGCCGGAGCTGGGCCCACGGGTTTTCCAGCCAGGACTGCGAGAGGCAGGGAACTGGAAAACTGCACACCGTGTAGTTCAGTTGCTGTGGGTGCAGGGTGGCGGGGGCTGCAGAATTCAGCGCTCCAGAGTGAGAACCAGGCCCAGGGACTCACCGGGCGAGGAGGGGGCGGGGAGGGTGTGCAGAATCCCGACAGCCCTGCTGACGTCACCCGTCGAGAACAGGAGGCATTAAACTGGTTGGGCCTTGAAAGCAGGACGCCGACCCCCATGAGGGCAGGTGGCTCCTGAGTCGGTGGTGTGCCCCTCTTGCAGGAACCCTCTCCTGGGAGACTGTTCTTGATGAGGGCAAAGCGGGGAGCCCTGGACAGCACGGTGCAGACACGTCTGAGGACCAAGGCCCGTGTGTGCGTGAGTGTGTGTGTGTGTGTGCACTGTGGGGCGGGCATGGGCTCTGCTTCTGAAGGCGTGTGTGTGTGTGTGTGTGTGTACTGTGGGGTCAGGTATGGGGCTCTGCTTGTGAAGGCCCGTGTGTGTGTATATGTGTACTGTGGGGTGGGCGTGGGCTCTGCTTGTGAAGACCCATGTGTGTGTGAGTGTGTGAGTGTGTGTGTGTACTGTGGGGCGGGCGTGGGCTCTGCTTGTGAAGACCCATGTGTGTGTGAGTGTGTGAGTGTGTGTGTGTACTGTGGGGCGGGCGTGGGCTCTGCTTGTGAAGGCCCGTGTGTGTGTGAGTGTGTGTGTGTGTACTGTGGGGCGGGCGTGGGCTCTGCTTGTGAAGGCCCATGTGTGTGTGAGTGTGTGTGTGTATATGTGTACTGTGGGGCGGGCATGGGCTCTGCTTGTGAAGGCCCGTGTGTGTGTGAGTGTGTGTGTGTGTACTGTGGGGCGGGCGTGGGCTCTGCTTGTGAAGGCCCATGTGTGTGTGAGTGTGTGTGTGTGTGTGTGTGTGTATTGTGGGTCAGGCGTGCAGCTCTGCTTATGAAGGCCCGTGTGTGTGTGTGTGTGTGTGTGTACTGTGGGGGCGGGCGTGGGCTCTGCTTGTGAAGGTCCATGTGTGAGTGTGTGTGTGTACTGTGGGTCGGGCGTAGGCTCTGCTTGTGAAGGCCCGTGTGTGTGTGAGTGTGAGTGTGAGTGTGTGTGGGTACTGTGGGTCAGGCGTGGGGCTCTGCTTGTGAATGCCCATGTGTGTGTGAGTGTGTGTGGGTGTGTACTGTGGGTTGGGCGTGGGCTCTGCTTGTGAAGGCCCGTGTGTGTGTGAGTGTGTGTGTGTGTATATACTGTGGGGTGGGCGTGGGCTCTGCTTGTGAAGGCCCGTGTGTGTGTGTGAGTGTGTGTGTGTGTATACTGTGGGTTGGGCGTGGGGCTCTGCTTGTGAAGGCCCATGTGTGTGTGAGTGTGTGTGAGTGTGTGTGTGTACTGTGGGTCGGGCGTGGGCTCTGCTTGTGAAGGTCCGTGTGTGTGTGAGTGTGTGTGTGTGTGTGTGTGTACTGTGGGGGCGGGCGTGGGCTCTGCTTGTGAAGGCCCATGTGTGTGTGAGTGTGTGTGGGTGTGTACTGTGGGTTGGGCGTGGGCTCTGCTTGTGAAGGTCCATGTGTGAGTGTGTGTGTGTACTGTGGGTCGGGCGTAGGCTCTGCTTGTGAAGGCCTGTGATGCTCCAGAGTCCCCAGCATTGCTGGTGTGGGGCACACAGGCCCGGAGGCCAAGGGAGCCGGCCCCGTGGGTCGGCTCTGGGAAGGACAGTCAGCACCGTCTCACTCTGAGCACAGGACCCCTGAGACCCCTGGAGTCTAGTACTGAGCCCACGTGGCCCGCACCCAGGTGGAGAGGAGGCCCCTCAGCCAGTCGGCAGGGGCGCCACGCCCAGGCCATGTTAACTCTCAGGGTGTGTAGTGACGCGTCTGTGCCGCTGGCTTGTTCCTAACTCCGGCTCCTCGGGCTCAGCACGAGTCTGTCTGACCTTCTGCCTTGCCCTCCACCGGAACGGAGCTGGCCGTGGGCCCACCCCTCATCCTGAAGGAGAGGCCACCCTGGGCGGGAGCGATGGGCACAGCCAGGCCTGTCAGAGGAGCTTCCAGAAGTAACAGGTCATTGTCCAGGGAGGGGCAGCTTCAGCGCCCGAGTAATACGTGAAGTAATACGTGAAGAGCGCTCAAACCACTGCACAATTGTGCTCATCTCACACACTGGTAAAGTAATGCTCAAAATTCTCCAAACCTGGCTTCAGCAATATGTGAACCGTGAACTTCCACATGTTCAAGCTGGTTTTAGAAAAGGCAGAGGAACAAGAGATCAAATTATCAACATCCGCTGGATCATCGAAAAAGCAAGAGAGTTCCAGAAAAACATCTATTTCTGCTTTATTCATTATGCCAAAGCCTTTGACTGTGTGGATCACAATAAACTGTGGAAAATTCTGAAGGAGATGGGAATACCAGACCACCTGACTTGCCTCTTGAGAAACCTGTATGCAGGTCAGGAAGCAACAGTTAGAACTGGACATGGAACAACAGACTGGTTCCAAATAGGAAAAGGAGTACGTCAAGGCTGTATATTGTCACCCTGCTTATTTAACTTATATGCAGAGTACATCATGAGAAATGCTGGGCTGGAGGAAGCACAAGCTGGAATCAAGATTGCCGGGAGAAATATCAATAACCTCAGATATGCAGATGACACCACCCTTATGGCAGAAAGTAAAGAAGAACTAAAGAGCCTCTTGATGAACGTGAAAGAGGAGAGTGAAAAAGTTGGCTTAAAGCTCAACATTCAGAAAACTAAGATCATGGCATCCAGTCCCATCACTTCATGGCAAACACATGGGGAAACAGTGGCTGACTATTTTTCTGGGCTCCAAAATCACTGCAGATGGTGATTGTAGCCATGAAATTAAAAGATGCTTGCTCTTTGGAAGGAAAGTTATGACCAACCTAGACAGCATATTGAAAAGCAGAGAAATTGCTTTGCCAAAAAAGGTTCGTCTAGTCAAGGCTATGGTTTTTCCAGTAGTCATATATGGATGTGTGAGTTGGACTATAAAGAAAGCTGAGCACAGAAGAATTGATGCTTTTGATCTCTGGTGTTGGAGAAGACTCTCGAGAGTCCCTTGGACTGCAAGGAGATCCACCAGTCCATCCTAAAGGAGCTCAGTCCTGGGTGTTCATTGGAGGCACTGATGTTGAAGATGAAACTCCAATACTTCGGCCACCTGATGCAGAGAGCTGACTCATTTGAAAAACCCTGATGCTGGGGAAGATCGAGGGCAGGAGGAGAAGGGGACAACAGATGATGAGATGGCTGGATGGCATCACCAACTCAACGGACATGGGTTTGGGTGGACTCTAGGAGTTGGTGATGGACAGGGAGGCCTGGAGTACTGCAGTTCATGGGGTCGCAAAAAGTTGGACACGACTGAGTGACTGAACTGAATCCCGGAAGATGTCTTAAAAACACGGTGTTTGCAACTAAGTAAGACTCCAAAAGGCCCAAGCAAGCCAATGACCGAAACAGAGCAAAGCAAGTTAGCCTGTTGTGCGCTGCCACAGAAAACGATCGCCTTCCCCTAAAATTGCGGTTTGGGTTGTTACCCACATCAAATTATATGTGAACTCTGAATTTGTAGCCCCTTTATTGTGACACGAACAACTAAACCAGCTTTTACTGTTTTTTGAGGTTGAATCTTGGGAAAATTCCAAATGGTACCCTTTTGGGGTTGATCATCCATCGTGTGGTCTTTATCTGCTGTGACAACTGTTTGCCATCTAAGGTGACAGCGGCAGGGGGTGGGGGAGGCGAAGGGTCTGGGGCTCCGGAGACCGTGGTCCCTGCCTTTCTGTTCTCGAGACCCCTGGGCCACAGCTGCGCCCTGTCTCTGCGACCCGCGCTGGCTGAACTGAATCAGGATTCAGGCAGAGGCCGGGCGCGCCGGCGGGCGTCGCAGTGCGCCTGCGTCTCTGCAGCCGGTCCTCTGCCCGTGCGGCTGCGGCTCACCCGCTGACAGTTCCGAGCACCAGCCTGCCTTCCAGTTTTATTGAAGAAAAAGAACGGGAAACTGTGAGCGTGCCTAGAGGAGGACTGGACTCTGAACTGCGCGGAAGCGTCTCTCGCGGCCCAGCTGACAAAGTGCTTCAGCGCCCCCTGGAGTCGCTCTTGCAGACGCGCCCGGAGCCCGGAAAGGGCCCCACCTGCCGCCTTAGGCGGCTGGACGCGCCTCCTCTCCCCTCGCTGGGCACCAGGGGGAGATGAGAATTCAGAGCGCTGGGCACCAGGGGGAGATGAGAATTCAGAGCGCCCCACGTCTCTGTGGGAGTCTGCGGGGTAGACTAAGCCCCCGTACCACCAGCCGAGCGAGAGCAGGGCGGGGAAGCTTCACACCCTCGGACGTCTTGACCCTTACTGTGATCTTATAAATAAGGCAGGCATTACAGCTTTCTCACAAGGGAAACTGAAATCCAGAAAAAGTCACTGGGCTGGCCGGTCACGCCCCCAGGCAAGTTCAGAGATCCAAGGGTCAAGCCTGCCTCTGACCCCTAAGACCAATTCACACGGGGTCTCGCTTCCCAGGGAGTGCTGGGATGCGTGCGCTGTATGTGTGTAAGCAGACCTGCGCCCGGGGGACCCCGTGTGCAGTGGTCAGGATCTCACAAGGCAGAGACGCTCCAAGCCTGGGGGGCTGAGACCCAGCACACGGAGGCCCCTCCCTGGACGCCCCTCACACACACGCCTCCAAGAGCACCCAGCTGTTCATGAGCACGTGTTCACCGTTACAGTCACTGTGCACTAAGGCAGGGAACTCCACGACAGTGTTCTGTGGCTCTTGTTCCTGCTAATGTTAATTGTACAAGTATTTTAATTTGCTGGGGGCAGAATCGACAGCTCAGCCCACAGGCACCCGAACTTGCAACCTCTGTCTGTTTTCTGTGTCTCACTTATTCTGCTCAAGGTGGAGACTCCAGGCAGTAAACGGTGGGTGCTCTGCATCTGTCAGGCACACCCCTGGGCTGGGAGACGGGTCCCCTAGTCACGAAACCCAACCCAAGCAGGCGATCAGCCACAAAAGTGAGGTGATGACTGGGTGTTCTGCTGCAAAAAGGGAACAAAGCCCCCACAAATTTATTAAATTATGTCAAAATTTTAAATCTTCATATAATGCACCAAGCATGTTTTCAAACATTCTTAAACTTTTATACTGTCAAAATATAATCTACCTGAATTTACTTTAATTTTGCAACTTTTACCATTAAATGATTGTAACTTCAACGCTCAAATCTGACTTCACTTAATCTACTATTTTGTTTAAATAACTATATCAGTCACAACTTGCAGAACATAATTTAAAGAGCAAAAAGCCTGTCTTGAGTAACTTCCCGGCAATGCCTTCTTTCTGTTTCCCATGGTTTGCAAGATTCTCAGCAGGCAAACCTGTCAGCAAGAGACCATGGCCCTGGCGTCCCATCCATGGACACCTGCTGAGCTGCAGGGATGCGGCAGTGACCAACAAGCGAAGTGCAGTTTGCTCAAAACAGCCACAGACACAGCGTCATCTTTACAGTTTTGCTTCTTTATTTCATGTAGATGTTGGCTAATGTTTAAATATTCTATGGTTTCACTCACACAAACGTACATCAGATGCAAACAGAACCAGGAACGCTTCTCTGGCTCCAAATCCACACCCTTTTGCTCAAGCTTTGGGGTGACACAGGACTGCAGGAAGCCATGACTGGGGATGTGCCTTCCTTCACCGACCAAGAGACCCCCCCAACATAGCGAGCTCATGCACCTAAAACCCTCTAAAGGGGGCCACACACTGCACACTTCAGATAAAGTGCTGAAGGGTGTGGCACAATTCTGGCTTGTAGGACGTCCCCAAGCAGGAGGACAGAGAAATATTTGTTAACACTGTAATTTAAGCCTCTGAATATGAACTTACTAGAAACAGTTAAAAAGTAGAAGTTTGTGTTTGCGAAAACAAAACGTAACTACTCCAAAACAGACTGCACACCCCAGTGAATGAACAGGCCCATGCCGCGCCATTAGGTTGGTGAGTCATCAGCATCCAAGCTAACCATATTTTTACACTATTATCACAGGGAGACTGGGTCCAGTCAGTCCCACATGAAGACAGACTGAGTAATCAGACGACGCAAGTGCCCCCACAACCTCCCTGGCTTCCTCGGGGCCGAGGCCAGGATGCTCCACCTGTGCGTCCTGTCCCTGGGGCCCAGCCTGACTGCAGGTCTGCAGGGGACCAGCTACCGTCTGGGCTCACAGGGGACCGGCCGGCTCAGTCCTGTGCTCAGAGGATTACTCAGGACGCAGCAGACGCCTCTGAAGCCAGGTTACCACTAAACACCCTGAACTGGTAATTCTCAGAAACGCACAATGAGGCATGCCATCAGGTGTGACGAATTTAAAATCTGACCTCACGTGACGTGCTGTTTTTTAAGTCAATTTTTAAAACATTCAATACAGAAGTTTAGGAGATCAAGGACGGACTGGAAACAATGTCAGGTTAAAAACCCCAGAGATGCACTGAGGAGGTTCTGTGCACACAGACCAGCCACTCAGTTGTGGCCGACTCTCTGCGACCCCAAGGACTGTAGCCCAGCAGACTTCTCTGTCTGTGGAACTTTCCAAGCAAGAATACTGGGGTGGGTTGCTGTTTTCTACTCCAAGAAGTTCAACTTACTTCTAAAACTAATGTCAAAATTCAGGAAATAGTTTCTCTACTAAGAGTTTGTAACCATCTATAAAAAATTTATTTATCTGGATTCAAAATGTAATTTCATAATGTCAAAGTGTCACCTTTTGAACTTCTAAATATAAACACCTTCATATGAACAAATACTATTTTTTGAAATTTGAAAAGGATGTTTCATTTCAGTGGCTCAGTCATGTCTGACTCTTTATGAGCCCATGGACTGCAGCATGCCAGGCTTCCCTGTCCTTCACCAACTCCCAGAGCTTGCTCAAACTCATGTCCATCGAGTCCATGATGCCATCCAACCATATTTCAGTTAACTTGTTAAAATTATGATAACCATGCACAAACTACCTTCTCAGACCCAAACCAGGAGCCAACAGCATCTTCCCTGTTGAGGGCTGTGCTTGGACAGGTGGCCCTCTGCTTACCTGTCAGCCCCCAGCTGCAGCTCCCCGAGGGGACAGGATCCACGAGCCTGCCGTACAGAAGTCTGTTCAGAGACAGTGCACCTGCTCCAGGGACCCTGAGAGCATCCCGTCCCAGGGCACCAAAGGAGACAAAGAAGGTGAAACACAGAAATACAGTCAGTTTTTGTATTTGCCATAGAAACTTTTTACTTGTGACTTTCCTTCCTGAAAACAATGCCAGGGGCTCATCCAACGGCCGCCTCCATGGACCCCGATGTCTCCAACTGGACAGAAAGCAGGTGGCCCCTCGTGTTCTGTCCAGTGGCCACACCACCCGGAGAGGCCGCCACGGAGCAGACAGACCAGGGTGGCTGGGGTGGTGGGTCTGCCCAGGCGTGGGCGGCACTGCCCCTTGCTCAGGCGCTGTCTCCGGGCGGACTGGGCATCTGATAGCTCAGACCAGGCACGGAGCAGGGTGGGGCTGTGGACACGTGGCCTCGGGAGGGCCCTGCGCTGCTGTCTGCCCAGCTTAACTGGAGAGATGGGGGTCCCCTCAGGCCCGGCGTGCGCCCAGGGAGCAGAAAGCTGCATCCGTCCCAACAGTGTGTCTGTGTGTTCCAGGGGCTGAGAAGACGCCTGTGTGGACAGCAGGCTGCTTGGAGCCAGAGCGGAGCGGAACGATCACTCCTCCTTGGGCCGCGCCCGTGCCCGAGCCCTCCTCTGTTCCCGTAAGCTCCGCAGGTCAGTCATCACCGCCAGGGTCTTGCGCACCCACAGGACCTGGAAAGAACCGTGCGGACGCGGTCACAACTGGACCTGCGTCAGAGGAGGAGGACGGCGCGGGAAGCCCGTGAGGCACGTACCACGATGACCAGGGCATTGAGCAGGAGTGGTGCAGAGAACACAAGGGAAATGAACATGCCCCTCGAGTCAAAATACTGGTGTTTGGAGAACAACCTGTTTTAAGAAAGATTTACAGGTTACCGGGTGGCACAAACGGCATTCCTGCCACCTTCTCTAGCTCATGGCGTCTCGGCAAGCCCACCCCTCACTGGGGGCAGGACGGCCCCCTCTGGACCACCAGGACCCCCACTCCCACACCACCCGGGACCCCAGCAGGAGCCTCTGAGCACAGGAGAACAAGGTGGTCAGAATCGCCATTGTACTCGGGGAGAGCTCACAGTCCCACGTCAGATGTGACCTTCCTAACCCTGCGGAGGGACAACTCCGGCCCCTCTGAAGGGGTGAGAGCAGCGGCCTACACCGAGGGGCCTCCCCGGCGGCGGGGCAGCATGGCCAAACCAGGCTGCCCTCCAGGGTCTCATGGATGACAGACACTCAGGTCACTGACTCAGTCACGCAGCACAGCTCTGGGTCACAGGGCGCAGAGCCCTGCAGGGCGGGGCCCAGGCCACTGAGGGCTGGTCGGGAGGCATGCATCCTGATTAGAAACAGGAAGCAAAGTGTGGAAGAACGGCCAGGTGTGGGCAGAGTGCAGGCTCCGCACCCAACAGCAGGGCCTGGAGCACGGGGCTGGGGCCGTGACTGCGGAGCCCTGGAGTCAGGCCAAGGGCAGGCAGGCCCGGGAAGCAGGGCGCGGCTTGGGTGGCATCATCTCCAGGGAGGGCGGTGCTGGGGGTGCTGTGCTCCCCTCCCGCCTGTGTCAGCCTCCCGAGGATTCCTGCCCGACCTGAGAAGGCAGAAGCAGCAGCTGCAGCCCCCGAGGGGCAGAAGACTGGGGGGTGGATCTGCAAGGTGTGCGGGCTGGGGAAGTGTGCTCCCTGGACAGGGACCTGGCCACCCAGGCGTGTGCGCGGGGAAGGACACACAGGCGAGGAGCGAGCGGCTGGTGTCCCGGAAATCGGAACCAGCGCTTTCAGGACGGAGGAAACCAAGCAAACATGGGCGGGTCAGGAACTCCCATCCCGGACAAGAGCACTTCTGGGCAGCGGCCACCACCTGGTCTCACGGCTGAGGAGCCCGGGGCAGGGCAGGGCGGGGGCCTCTGTAAACAAGAGCTGCATGCCGCCTGAGGGTGCCCTACAGCTGACAGGGTGGTTTCAGATGCCGTCCACGTGCCCAGGACTGCTTACCTCCAGTTCATCGCCGCCACTTCATTGATGTACTCGGCACAGTAGACCAAGGTGACTGAGGAGAAAGAACCCCAGGTGAGAAGTCAGAGGACGGTCGACCACCGCGGCCTACACGTCCTTCTGAACAGGACGCTTTAAACGTAAAACAAGGCCGCGCTATGCGGCTCGGGAGCCTGTCTGTCCAGCCCACGCTCGCACTCCTCACGAAGGCCCCTCACAGACCGGAAGGAACGTCCTCCCCAGCCGGGCGCACTGTTTCTCACTGCGACGCAGGCTCTGGGCTTCACGCCTGCCCCCGGATAACCTCCTGTCTGAATTTCCTGCCTTGCACACAGCCAACTGAAACATCACCTTTAAGATGAGATTTTGTATTTTGTTAAACTACCAGCAAAATCTTCAGGGTCTTCCGGACGACGGCTGCAAGATTAAGAGCCTGGCCTAGCCTCTGAGGCCCTGGCCCACCCTTCCTATATGAACATATTTCTAACTCGACAATATCAGACACGTGCTTCTCTGACAACTGACCCAACACCGGCTGTCACCCTGGTGCTCTCACTGGTGCCTTCGCCCCACGTGCTGGCCTGGGCCAGACACCTGTTATTTGTAAAAACAGATTTTCTCTCTTTTTACACCCCACACCAGGACTTCATTTTCTTCATTAAGTTTTTCTCAATGATTCCACACAACCCTGTTCCTTCTCTGAATCTCGGTGGATCTTATACACACAGATCTTATACTGTGGATCTTATACTTCCTTCCCTGTGTGCACCTCCCAGAGAAAGCTGAAAGGCTAAACCCACAGAGGGGAGCCCCATTTACAGAGTCAGCATCTCAGCAAACACAGCTCCTGTTTGTGTCACCAGTATTTAGCACCCTCCTGGGAGCACGGTAGGTACTTGAAAGGAGTCTTTGAAAGACTCCTTTCAAGATCAATATCCAAAATGAACTTTATCTTTATAGGAACAAAGAGTGAAATACAGGAGTGGCCTGAAATTAAAGTAGAACACAGACAGGAGGGTGGAGAGGCCTTACAAATGCTTTACACATCATGAGGCTGCAGAGAGAACACCCCCACACACAAGACCGGATCACGGCGATCACACACACACACACACACACACACACCCCCAACACCCAGATCACAGCGATCTGACATACACACATACACAACCCCCATCCCACACACACACCCAGATCACAGTGATCTGAACCCTGAGCTGCAAGACTGCTGATTCTACTCACCCAGGCACAGGAAGTGCCCCACCTGCAGCCTGTACCTCTGGGATGAGAAGCAGGTGAGCAGCAGGCAGAGCACGTGGAAGACAGCCAGCCCCATGAGCCAGGGCTCCGTCCAGTCCGTCTGCTGGAGGACACACAGCAGAAATTCGTCAGGGTCCACTCGCACTGGGGCCAGGCTTCACACGCCGTCTTCTCTGAGCATGCCCAGAGCGCCCACCAGGCTTCACAAGACACGGGATCGGGAGGGGAAATGTGCACCCCCACCCAGGGACTGTCACTCATGTCCCTGGAGGGCCGTCACACAGCACTGAGGGCCTCACTGTTTGTCAAGCACAGCTTTAGGCTGGGGAACTGAAGGACCTTCCACTCTGGGAGGGAAGCCAGGAAAGCCTGGTTCTGGAATGCACCGGGTCCCCGCAGAGGTAAGGCTACAACTCCTATTTCCAGCTCCCTAAACCGAGAGAGCATATTAAAAAACAGAAACATTACTTTGCCAACAAAGGTCCGTCTAGTCAAGGCTATGGTCTTTCCAGTGGTCATGTATGGATGTGATAGTTGGACTGTGAAGAAAGCTGAGCGCCAAAGAATTGATGCTTTTGAACTGTGGTGTTGAAGACTCTTGAGAGTCCCTTGGACTGCGAGGAGATCCAACCAGTCCATCCTAAGAGATCAGTCCTGGGTGTTCACTGGAAGGACTGACGCTGAAGCTGAAACTCCAGTACTTTGGCCACCTCATCGGAAGAGTTGACTCATTGGAAAAGACCCTGATGCTGGGAGGGATTGGGGGCAGGAGGAGAAGGGGACGAGAGAGGATGAGATGGCTGGATGGCATCACTGACTCGATGGACATGAGTTTGAGTAAACTCCGGGAGTTGGTGATGGACAGGGAGGCCTGGCGTGCTGCGATTCATGGGGTCGCAAAGAGTCGGACACGACTGAGCGACTGAACTGAACTGAGACCAGTGATTAAAGCCTCAGAAAATCTGGGCTGCCCTCCAAACAGCGCTAGACTTCAGGTCTGCTAAACTCTAGGGGTGGCTGGTCCGCACCCCTAAGCTAGGACCCCCCTCTCGGAGGCTCTGGTCCCCGGCGGGTAAGGGGCTGCAGGCGAGGCCCGCGCCTGCCACTTGCCCACTACGGGTGTTCGCATCCAAGCCCAGATCGGCCTCCATCCCGGCGCCCCGCAGTAACCCCGCCCACCGGGGGGGGGCCCTTCCTAGAACACCCCGCCCCTAACCCGGGCCCCGCGCACCTGAAATCACGCCCCTACCGGGCCCCCGCCCCACACCCGGGCCCCGCCCCCCAGGCCCCGCCCCGGAACGCCCCGTCAGGCGCCGCGGGCATCCTTGTTGGAAAATTCCGAGCCCCCTCTTAGCGCAGCGGCCGAACTGGCGGACAAGGAGGGGGCGAGTTACCGTGATCACGGTGGGAATGCTGACGGGGAACCTGCTGACTGAGAATGCGGATGGCATCGCCCCCAGAAAGGCCCAGCCTCACCACCACCTTTTCGTCTTCCCGCCCCTCCTGGATAGGATAAGGAAGTCCTTTAACGTCCTCTCGCGAGATATCCCACTTGTCGCGAGGCCTACTGTGCCTGGAAGTGGGAGGGAGGGAGGCAGGCAGGCAGGCAGGCAGGTAGGCCCTCCATCTCGCGATATCTGTAGTGCCGTGTACTGGGTCCAAATCTCGCGGTATTCCGTGGCTTTGCAGTAATATGAGGTAGATAAACAGGCAGACGCCGGGGTTTTCTCCACAGCCGTTGGGTGCGGGCTCTGGTTCTGTGGCGTGTGAGCGCGCCAAGTAGCGTCAGTGCTCCGAGTCCGCCTCTGCGGACAGAACCCCTCTGTCCGAGGGTTCTCCAGGCAGGAACACTGGGGCGGTCTCCAGGCCCTCCTCCGTGGGGTTTTCCCGACCCAGGGACGGAACCTGCGGCGCTCATACCTGGCAGCGGGAAGGACTGGGGGCGTCCCGCCTTCTCCCTGCGCATCTCCGTGGTCTAGGCTTGGGGGTGGGCATCGCTCAGTAGTGGTTGGCCTCTGGGAGACAGAGGAATGACCGGGACGCTCGAGGACACGGGCCAGTGATCCGAACCCCGGCACACAGGACAGTGGCTTGGGCCCTGGGGGACCAAGGGTGGGGGGACAGTGACCTGGAGTGACCTGCATAGTCTGAAAACGAGCTTCCTTCTGGGTCCTTCTCTTAACTGGCTTCAGTCAAGCTTCACAGGAGGTCGACATGGTGAGGAGAAAGTGGCTCAGTATTGTTTGACTCTGCCACCCCATTGACCAGCCCTCCAGGCTCCTATCCATGGGGTTCTCCGGGCGGGAACACTGGAGTGGGTTGCCATACCCTCCTCCAGGGGATCTTCCTGACCCAGGGATCGAACCTGGGTCTCCTGCACTGCAGGCCACAATCTGAGCCACTGGGGAAGCAAAGAATCCTGTGTTGACCGATTAAGTGCCCCTCAGCCACTCGGTGGGGTGGACGTTATGCACTCACTTTGCAGTGAGAAAACAGACCCAGAAAAGTAAATACCTGCCCGGCGAGGGAGTCGGGGCCTGGGTTAGACTTGGCTGGTTGCATGGCACAGACTCTGCCAGGTGCCTGCCCCACCAGCCTCCTCCTGGGCCCTGTCTAATGAGATGCATTTCTCTAGTTAGGGGACAGTTATTCCCCAGAGTGTACTGTGGATTCAATGCCTGATTCTCTTCCCAGATATAACATACTCCCTGAATTCATTTCTCCAACAACTTTGCAGGCCAGTGGTCTGACTTGAGATGACTGACGTTCGAGTCTGCGGGCAGATCTGGCTCTTCTCTCCAGGTGAAGCTGGTGCTGTGGGGTGAGGGCCAGCGAGGCTGTGACTCCAACCTCACATGTGTCCATGTGAAGATTGTCAGGAGACGGGGCTGTTCGGGAATGAGAATCTGCCGTCGTGCAGTGACCGCTCTTTTCTCTAATGCTGGACGTTTTATACCCAGTGCTTACTCCCCTGACCTGACAGGGAGATGGGTTGGAAAAATCAAAGACCTCGAAGGCAGATTCTCTCCTTCCCAATGATGGCTTCTTATGCTAGGGCATAAAGGTCAGGCTCTAGCCTTGCTAGCAACACTGGCTTCAGCTGCGTCGCTCCAGAAAGGCCAAGGTAGGGCAACTGACAGTGTCTAAGGCGGGGCAGGTCTCATGCCTTTAGCAGGTGCTGTTCATTCCTCCGATTCCTATGACAGCCTGCCCCAGGAAGTGACCAGGTCAGCTCTCTGGTCTCCTGTCCCCTCAGGGCACTAGCTGCCTTCAGAGCAGCCATAGGTGAGTTTCTCTAGAGTCCAGAACCAGTGGAGAAGGCATGTGCATGTTGACTGAAAACTAATGCACAGCCTGAAAACTGAGAATGGTGTTTTTTTTGGCAGACAAAACTGAAGACTTAAGCACAGAATTCAGCCTCTCCGACAGCTCTGAGGGACTGCTCCCTAGAGGTGTGGGAGGAGCCAGGGTATAGAGGTGTTTTTCCACAAAGTCCAGGTAGTTAGAACATCAAAAGATTGCTATTAATTAAAGAAAACTAGACATCGCAGTTTAGTGAATTTAGCCCCTTTCTATGAATGGGAAAACAGAAGAATCTGGGCTCACTGGCGTCATTCCTTTGATGTGCACTTAAGCTTCCTGGGCCCAGTGTCCTGGGCTCTCACCCTGAGTCTGCCTGGGGCCCCTTCGGTTGTCCTGCATCACCCTTTCCTCCTGCTTCAGCTCATGCAAGGGAGGGGAGGGGAGGGTGGATGGCCAGTAGGGGTCAGGAGCCCGAGGCCCCACTCAGGGCCTCACACCCAGTTCAGGGGGTGTTAGTGACTTGCAGGTTACCACATTCGTGCATTCTCAGTTTAACTTTTCTTCAGTTACTGCTTTAAGATCTTGTAATTGCAAGAAGCATGACATTTTTGTTATCACAATGATTAGAGTTGCTAAATTTCAGTGAATTTTAAGGAATATCATAAGAATTTTCATAATGCATTATCTGATGTCACATGTCCTCTAACACTGGGGCTTCTCTGCAGAAGGGACCACCTGTCATTTCCTGATTGACATGGATCTTCCTATAGCCTCATTTCACTGCATTTTATTCTCCAAACCTCTGTCCATCTGACCACATACGTGCTTGCACATCGGTGTCCATCTCTGTCTGTCTCTTTGTCTCCCTCAAGTGCCCAGTTTAGGCAGAATCTCCTCCCTGTCCCCATGGGAAAAGCAATAGTAGAGTAGTGTGTTTTCAACCCCACAGTTGTCAGGAGACAACTGTGTCAGCAAACAGAAGTTTGGAAATAAAGAATATGGGTAAATTCATCGTGTGGGCTGAGACACTGACATCCTTCCAGAGAAAATCTGCAGGTGGTGCTCAAAGATCTCTTCCTTCTCTTTACCTGTTATTGTGTGGTACTTCCTCACCACAGGCCCACAGGGGAAGTCCTGTCCTTCAAAAGACACAGAACTTGCTAATTTCTTGATCTTTGAGTTAAACTTCCCCTTGGTCTTTGAATTAAACCAATTAATGATTCATTGGTAAAAAGAATTAAAATGGAAATGCCAGGTTCCTTTGCTCGTGAAGATGCTGCTCCAAGTCTGCCCTGTTCTGAACTGTCAGATATGTTGTCCTCCCTGGAGACTGCTAAAATGACAAATGTCAAAAAACAAACACAGCAAAACCCTTATATGAAATGTAACAGTCCATAAATATATTCCAAATTGTGTATGATAGTTTAAGCAGTGTTTTTGTTAGTCTTTTGTTAATCATCTATTGTTTTCCAGTGGCTGATGTAGAGTATTTTTACTTTTTAATCATGTGATATTTTATATACAAAACATTGAACATAAATGAGTGTTAATACTCACTTTTTCCAAGAGAGTCTGAAACTGAGCAGCTCAGACCTGAGAAGGTTAAGAATTTGTCTTTCTCTTGATTTTAAAATTACTCTGTCCCATATGACCTATGAGGACACATTTTTATTTTCTTTATCATCTATAACTTTACACTGAACTCAATCTCATCACTTTAAGAGTCCAGCCCATCCTGATACTATCTCCTGCACAGAGCCACAGAGCGTGTTTATAAAAATGGATGCATTAAGCCATTTTGTGGAAGCTTTACCTGCAGCAATAACCTTAAATCACATCTTCCTTTCCTGCCAGAGTGCAATGACTTTCTCCTTCTCTGTGACAGGAGCCGCATTCTCCACAACCTCTCTTTAAGGGAGGAACCAAGCTTCTTTTCCCTCTAGTCTGTTATATCTTAATTTGTAATGGAAATCAAATTATTTATGCAACAGTAATACTTATTTCATTGACATACTTGCTTTTCACTGAGTAATATACGTGAACTGAGGTTTATGTATCTACATTCACTTAGGCATAAAAGGTTAATCTAGAATTTTGTCAGATCTTCCCTCTTGTCAGGTCCAGTCTTCTAATATAATTCCCGTTTTTCTCTTGGAAATCTGTGACAAAAATTTACCCATTTTTATAGATTCTCTCTCTTAGCATTTTCTAGCACCATCAGAGGGTGGAAAGGTAGACTGCAGGGGCTCTGGCGTCTAAATTGCTTAACACCATTAATCACCAGGGAAATGTAAATCAAAACCACAATGGGACGACACCACCTCATGCCTACTAGGATGGCTATTATCAAAAAAAAAAGCCAAGTGTGAGCAAGAATGTGGGGAGTGTGCACTCTCAGTAGGGATATAAATGGTGCCGCCACTATGGAAAACAGTATGCAGGTTCTTCAAGAAACTAAAATACAGCTGCCATATGAGCCACAATCCCACATGGGGACAGTTGTCAAAAAGAAATCAAGATCTTGAAGAGATACCTTAACGCCTGTGTTCATTGCCGCATTATTCACAGCAACTAAGATACAGCAGTACCCTCAGTGTTCATCCATGGCTGAATGAGTCAGGAGCATGTAATGTGTACACACAGTGAAATATTACTCAGCCCTGAAGAAGGAACTCCTGCTGTCTTGATAACCTGGAGGAACTGGAGACATTGTGTTAAGGGGATGAGCCATCGCAGCACGAGTCCACTTGCATGAGGAGACACTTAGAGCCGTCCGAAGCAGAGAACGGATGGTGGTGGTCTGGGACGAGGAGTGGAGGGCAGAGGGAAGGTCAAGGGTTAAATATCAGTTCTGCAGGTAAGTCGAGGAGACCCGATGTACAGCAGAAATCTGTACAGAGGGTAGATTTCATGCATCGCGGTCCTACCACAATTACATAACAGCATGAAGCACCACTGCCTTTGACCTAAAATGCTAATTTCAGTGTCACTGATTCCGTGACACTGGAATCAAGATTGCCGGGAGAAATATCAATAACCTCAGATATGCAGATGACACCATCCTTATGGCAGAAAGTGAAGAAGAACTAAAGAGCCTCTTGATGGAAGTGAAAGAGGAGAGTGAAAAATTTGGCTTAAAGCTCAACAT